ATTATATGATAAACAGAATATTACATGGTCGCTTGGAGATATGAATTTTATCTTTGTGTGTTGAAAATCTCTCACTTCACTACCTTCGCTTGTCAGAGATCTTTTCAACACTTGAAGATAAAATCTGTATCTCCAAGCGCCCATGTAATATCCTCTACATGTATGTGCGTAATGGTTTATTTCATCACAAATCATTTTTTTAAATTTATAGGAAGTGGTGCCTTTAATGTCTACCACCACCTCATGCTTCAGAAGGCTGTTGACGTTTTGAAGCATTGGCCTCGTAAAGGTAATACACATATCATTTTTCACTTCATGAGCTACGTTATTCAGACACATCCAGATTGCCGTCTATATTTTGAGCACCGGGAGAACTGTTTTTAAGTATTTCCCAGAGGTCACCTCATGATAGAAAAGGAAATAATCTAAGGTGTTCAGGTCAGGTAAACTACAAGAGTAGCTGGCCTTTGAGACCTCATTTTAGTGCTTCGCCCCTAGTGCCCTGGTCAGCAACCATGATACTTGTATATATCTTGCCATTCTTTTTAACAAAAGACCATCAAGAACAGTTTTTCTCAACATTTTTTCGACTATTTTTGCTTAATTTGAGGCGACCATGGTATACATTGTATATCATAAATATACCATAGTTTATTAGCAAATCAGAATGCTGTATTTTTAATAGCCTATACATGTAGTTTGGTGGATACTAGCACTTTATATACTTGTGTGGTGGTAGTACAGTGTATGTCAAAATTCAATTATGCTTTTCATTGTGATTTGTGTTTGTTATCAGAAAATTCCAAAAGGAAAAGACCACAGTCGTCACAAAACAACGGAAAACAATCTACCAATGGTAGAAAAGCTAAGTCAAGACGTACAGCTAAAGATAGTCAGCCATGTGGTAAGATTGTACATGGCAAATTTGCCTTTTTGAATTTCAAATTAACCACTTATTGAAAACTGAACCTCATCACATSAAAGATGACACTACGATCAGTGCTACATGTATGCTCAAGTTGAATCTATTTGGTTGGATATTCACCAAATAATATATATTTTTTAATTTGCAAAAATAAGAAAGAATGTACTGACCTATTGTTTTTGGGGACGCTGCTCAAAAGCTCCATACATAATTTGTTATTTTTTTGAAATAATTTTAAATGCTCTTTATTGTCTTGTGATCTGTTTCTTGATGGCTTCAAACTCAATCTTGTACCCAGAGCCCACACTTTTGCCATCCAGCGGAAGTCAATAATGTGTGAGAGAGTCTTGGGGAATATGCTATCTCTCAATTCATGATTGGGTGAAAATTGTTTTCAAGTCAGTTTTAGTGCACACTTGGTTCATTAGTCAAGAAAATCACACAAAAATTTGCAACGGAAAAACGTTGTAGATCCAGTTGATTCTCCCAGAGTCTTTCTGGCGTCAGCATACTGCTGACATTAGCCGTTAAACTGTATAAAGTTTGTGACTAGGCAGCCAGTTCCTTATTGAATTCCGGGTGCTCCGTCCATCATATTATTGCAATGTTAACAATTTTTGTTAATACAGTAGATGATGAGGAAGACTCTAGACTTGAAAATGAAGAAAGTGATGACARTGATGATGATAGCGATGATGATGATGATATCGGAGTTGGTCTCTCTTTAGAGGCTCTGGTAGACAGTCTCAAGAAAAGAATTATTGAATTTCTGCAGGTACTGTACATCTAATAACTTTTGTTAAAATGTGACAAATTACACYGTTTAAAAAGTCAGACCTTTTTATGAAATACAAGATCATGGTGCATTGTGGGCTTGCTTTTCAGAAATAGCATTATGCATTGCATTGAGGTCTAGACTTGGTACAAACATCTTTTGTTTGTGCTGCCAAATATGGTGTTGTTTGTACTGAAGCTAGATCACAATGCAATGTGTAATGCTACACAGTATTTTCAAATAAGAGTTAATGGGAGGATATCAATCACTTTTAACCTCACCATGTATTTCTTTGTAAGATTTGTTTGATATTGACTTATCTCCTTGGGCATWATGCTGTGACAGTTGCCATAGTAACTGGATGTTCTGAAAAAACAAATAGTGTTCAAGTGCAACTATGAAGTTTTCACTGCATAATAATAATAAGATTTAAACTCCTTTTGTTTTTATTATTCAACAACAGAATTTTCTTAAAGTGCAAATGAACTCCAATTTTTCTAAATTGTAGGATAATCTATCGTATTAAAATAGTAACATACCGCAAAAATATTTTGAATTGGATGAATTCCCGATGTTTATCGTTATTTTGAATTTCCCGCCAGTTCGGAAAAATGCGCTCTCTTTGAAATCAGGGGCCTGGTGCGAATATGACATCAACTAATGAATCGTCTCTCACATTTCCGGGGACTTTCAAAGTAAATGGTGGAGAGATTATAAGGAATTCATTACTGTTCCAAACGCCTTGGAATTATAAGCCAACTTTAGATAATATTTTGTCAATATATCAAGCGATGTAAGAACGTTGGTTCCTTAGTTGACGTTATACTAGGCTCGATTCAGGCCCCTATGATAGTTCGCGGCCATTTGGAAATTATCGAAAATTTATTTTATTTTCATTACTTTAATGATTCACAAAACAACGAGCTTTTAACCGATTTCCATGAAAGCACCAAGAAGAATTTTATTTTTCCATGGTGGTTTTCCTGAACTTTGGAAAAAATAGAGTTCATTTGCACTTTAAGCTGTGGGCTCTATGCATTTTAATAATGTAGTAGCCCTCTGCAATGGGCACTTTAACATCATGTGATCAACTCTCCACCAATCAGAACAGAGAAAAAAATTGTTGTTGAATTATATTCTTTGTTAGTAATGGTAATTCATGTTGATTTACAGGATACTGTTTTGCTGCTGAGCATGTTTTCTCTGAAWGGTTCGGAGCAAACTTGTGTTCATATTATGCAGAGGCTAACAGAAATGGCCAAGATAGACGTCATTACTGTACCATCTACTTTTGAACTACCAGAAAGGTAAGGCTATAATGACTTGTTCAAGTCTTTTGAATCTTTTTGTCTGTGCATGAAGACAACTAAAATGGAAAGCACAAATTAGCCACATATGCTCTAAAAACTACAAGGGAACAAGAATTATCAATAGGATAAGAAACTTTCYACCAAAATCAGCCCTAAAAACATTATACTATTCATTAATCTATCCATATCRTCACTATGGTAACATCATCTGGGGTAGTACATGTACTTGTCCAAGCAATTTAAATAGACTGCGCATTATTCAGAAAAAGGTTCTAAGAATGATTATCATATGACCCGTATTACGGCCCTACGCGCGCTCTTAAAAAAACCTTTGGGAAATGGTCATGTTATGGGGGCTGTACGCCTTTTCGCAACAGGGCCGTACAAATCTGTATCTTCCCGGCTTGAAGTTCTGCGAGCTTTTATTTTTTTTTACATCAAAAAACGCTGTCATATGTGCGCGAGGTCCGTACAAATGACTGAGAGCCAAATATTTTCCCGTACCGCCCGACCTAACTCAGTCAATAAGTACATATATTACTGACTCTCCATATAGTCATACTAATCCATTATTTTAATCAGAATCAATTCTAAAGATTGATGATATTACAAACTAAACATAATTTAATAATTTGTATAGAAACCATTAACTTTTTATATCTAACATATTTCTCAGGTCTTCACTGAAGCAAGTCAAATCGGTTGCACAACTTGGATACATTGTAAGTAAGGCCAGGGTCAAACTTGATCAATTTGTCAAAATGAATTTTGTTCAAATTTTGGGTGCCTTTTAAGGCAAAGTATTTAGTAACAATCTGATAACATTGACATGTTGCCTTATACCTTTTGGATTAATACGTGGTTAACTTGTCGTTATGAATGAGGTTAGTTGACCATTGAGACAACCCAACACTAGCAAAGGTCTCAGTTTTAGTGTCGCATCATAGACCTTCACTAGGTTTTGAAGCAATCAAAGACGGATAACAGAACTCGCTTATGCAACAGATGGCTTGCTTTCCATGTGGGATGGATAATTATTCAAAATGTTCTGTGTTGCAGTAAATTGCGCATGCTTAATAGGGACTAAACTCAGCAGTTACCTTATTTGTCATTTTTCGTNGTATAGAAACCATTAACTTTTTATATCTAACATATTTCTCAGGTCTTCTCTGAAGCAAGTCAAATCAGTTGCACAGCTTGGATACATTGTAAGTAAGGCCAGGGTCAAACTTGAACAATTTGTCAAAATGAATTTTGTTCAAATTTTGGGTACCTTTTAAGGCAAAATATTTAGTAGCAAATAGTAGTTCAAGGCAAATGTAAAAACCAGTGTACCAAGCTAGTTTTAATAAGAATTGAGAAAGTTGTACAGGGTTCATGCTACTCGTTGAGATCCTTGAAAAGACCTGAAATTGAACACTTGTTTTCAAGGGCGCTTGAATACTGATAACATTGACATGTTGCCTTATACCTTTTGGATAAATACGTGGTTAACTTGTCGTTACGATGGAGGTTAGGTGCCTAGAGCAAGGCAAGCAATTGGTAAGGCGGTAACCATGGCAACCTAGCCACGGGTCAACCTCGGCACCTGTCACACTGTAAAAACAGTGAAACTACCTACCTTATCTGACCAGAGAAGGATGGGTGGGGCAAAACCACCAGGCAATGCAAAGCTACAAGCCGCTAGCGATAACAGCCACGAGGCAAACTAAGGAGATTACGCATGTGCAAATCACACACCTCTGGCCAGCACTCCACTCAAATTAACTTAAAGATTAACCACATCTATAATTGAAAATACATGTACCCACTGGAAATGCTCACAAACATAAAAACAATATCAAAAAACATCCTTGAAAATCACTTGTTTGTGATTGATAAGTACTGGAAATAAGTCCTTGGATTTTGTAGTGAAAATGTAGCACGAACCCTGGTTGGCAAAACTGTTGCTGAGTGTGAAATGAACTTTAAAAAAAAACTTTAACACGTTTAAGAATAGAAACTTGAACTACATGTATGTCCAGGCCTTTGCAATAAAAGCTGCAGTTTGTAATTAAAAGCATACGATGATTATTTTTAACTCTTTGTCTCCTACTGCATCTACTGTATGACAACATGGTAAACCTGCTACTCTGATACTTCAAGTGTGGATTCAGGATTTTCTTCAGGGAGGGGTGCGGGGCTCTCAGGAGGGGGTGCACCCAACAAAAATCATTACCATTAAGATACAAAATAAGGAAAGTATTGAAGGATACAGATCTCAGGAGGGGGTGTGCACCCCCCCTGCACCCACCAGCTGGATCCCCCCCTGTACTTTCAGTAGTGACAATGCAGTCAATTCATTAAAAATTGGCAAATGATGTCTGAATTTCAATGAATGACATATATTGTTCTGACATGTGCAATGTTGTCAATATTTCTTCTAGGCTCTTGGTCAGTTATGTACTACGCTTCATGGAGATGTTGGCTCAAACACTCGAAATGTATGTTATATAGATCTAAAATAATATTGACAGATTTAATGACAATTATTGTAATTCATTAAAAGCGTGTATGATGATTAATGATGATATCGGTGAAACAAAAAAGAGCCAATCTCGTACCTGCACTTTTGCCATCCAGCAGAAGTCAATGCGTGAGAGACTCTGGAGGATTGCGTTATTTCTCGATTCGTGATTTGCTGAAAATGACGCAAGCGTGCATTGTTTTCAAGTTGATTTTTCAAGTCACCAGCGCACGCTCACCTGTTTGGTTAAAAATATCATACTTTTATCGCATAACCACACATGTTTTCACACATTTGTGTTTTTAAAAAGGTGGAAATACCGTTCCTAAACTAAGTTGTGTGCTAAACCTCCTTCTTTTTTGTCATTTTRATGCTCTAAAAGCAGAAAACAAACTGACATTTGCATAATTTGCGATGGGCAACCGTGAAGGAGACTATTCTATATGAAAGTAAATTATGCATGGCTTACAAGTGAGACCAGCTCTACCCATACTGAACAGATGATGATAGCTTACTCCCTTGTGGTCTGTACATGTAGCTGCAACAGCTTTACACTTTCTTTTGTGTTCAGGTGTTGAAGAATCTACTTCCTCTTTTCCTAATGGCAGATGGTGGTGCCACGTTACACAAAGATGTCCAGCTTGTGAAGGATTATGCCGTAGCGTTTGCTTGGTAAGCTAAAMCATTTCCTGGTTCTGCCTGTCACATTCACAACTTTCAAAGATGGTGGGATAGTCGCTGACCAGGGCAAGGGGGATGAAGCACTAAAATGAGGTTTCAAAGGCCAGTCTTCGTTTAGTTAACTTCTGATGGTGTCCAACCTCATTCCCAGTGCCCTCTCTGTAGCTATTTTCAAAATGGCAGACGCTACAGCAAAGAGCGTTCGCCATTTTGAAAATAGCTACAGAGAGGGCACTGGGAACGAGGTTGCAATTGTGTCTTATTGTCATCAATAACATACCAATACATGTTAAAAACATCTTTGGACACTACATACATGCGATCCCCTGATTTCTAGATGGAAGGCCTTGTTTTTTGGTGCTTCTTTTGTTTTTGTTATCTGTTGTCTACTATAATGGGAATTAGGCGTACTCATTGTTTGTATATTCAGTTATATTGCAGCCAAAGAGTGCAGCGAGTCCCAAAATGCCGTCAGGGTTCTCATCCAACACCTGTGCACAAAGTGCCCAGACAAAGCTGACTATAGGGTCCCAGTTGCCAAGGTAACTTTATAGAAAAGAAACAAATGCATGGAAAAAATCCTTGAAAAGCACTTTTTTAATTGAAAACTTGTTTTCAAGGGCACTTGAAACTCCTTGAAAATTTGAAAATTTCTAAGAAGTCCTTGAAAACTCCTTGAAAATGATAGATCTCCTCTATCATGAAAACTCGTTTTCAAGGGCACTTGAAACTCCTTGAAAATTTGAAAACTCCTTGAAAAAGATAGATCTACTCTATCGTGAAGCGCTAGCGATCTCCGAATTATTCCGTTCGGATAAAGTTGAGAGGTAAGAATGTACAATTAGCATTATTATGATGTTCCTTGAAAATACAATTTTTTTTGATACTCTGAACGGACCCTGATTTTTCTGACTTTCCTGTGGTTTAAACAACATAAAATAGATAAGAATCCCAGCTGATGAGGAGGTAAACCAGTTGGTTATATTACAAGCACGCCTGAGAAACTGAATCTGAGTTAATCAAAACCGAAACAAATTCAGTCTCAGCCAGTGGTCAGATMAGGAATTACCTGTGGCCATAGCCGAAGTTTAATGTCCGGCCAGTGCCACCATGCTATTTGTGGGTGAATGGAAGCGGCAAAACATGAGATAAAGAATGAATAGAGACACTAAACTGGCTTTAATCGACCATCTTGGTAAACTACACAAGGCGACACCTAATTTACACAATGTATGAGTAATCATATGNGGGTTAACTCCATATCAATTTTTTTAAGAGTCAACCCAGAATCTGCTAATACTCCAGTTTCGAGATCTTAATAAAGCATGTAATATATTCTTTTATTCGGCAGAGAATCTATTGAAATGCAAACACTCTGTGTACAAAGAATACAATAAACAATTTATGCTTAATTGAAGCTAAGCTTGCACAAAAKAGAATTCGAAACTGGAGTATTGGCTTTTTGCATGAAACGGTCGCATGGTACTGAATCTGCCATACTGGATGGGAAAAGAATATAAACAACCTCAAAAACAAAAGGAACGCAGCCAGTCAGCTTGACTTTTCTTTGTTTTGAACATCCCAATGGGTATTTTGCCATCCAGTATGGCGGATTTAGTACCATGTGACTGTGTCATAGTCCATATTACAATCCGCCATTTTGAATGAGTTTGCAATGTGTCATGGGATATAAATTTCCCTTTCTTCACTAACTTTCTTTCTCGCTAAAATCATAAAAAACAGCAATTAGTTTCGATCAATAAGGACTATCCAAAAGGGCTATTGGATTTTGAACAACCCGTCCCTGAAGTTTAGATTGATATTCAGAGCTAGAACTTCTGCCTATCCATCAATGGTCAGCTTTCTTTATTACTAATTTACAATAATGAAGGCATTTTAKTTTGTAAAATGGTGGGAACTAGCGGTAAACTAGTGTGAGCTGCGTAGGTGTTTCTAAAGAAACAGTTATGTAAAAAGATAAATTTAACACCGTAAAAAAAGTATGTGAAATAACTTACTGACGTTTCGGACGTTAATCCTTCGTCGGAGTACTTTACTTTACTTTCCTTTTTTTACGGTGTTAAATTTATCTTTTTACATAACTGTTATTTTATTTTGTAGACAAGTTACAGAATCTTCTCATTGGACCTYATAGCAGAGCTGCTCAATCAGCCATCCAGACCAATCACTGAACAAGGTACCAGAATTATTCCGAAACCAAAGCAACATTATTAAGGCCGACAACTTTTCCCTACAACTATCGCATGCGACCTGCGTAAGTCATCCTTACGACATGGCTACAACTGTCGTGAGGCTATTAAGCAATTGTTTAAAATCCATACGACAGTTGTAGACATGTTGTAAGGATTACTTACGCAGGTTGCATGCGATGGTTGTAAGCAAAAGTTGTGTCGTCTAAATCGGCCTTTAAGTGGCATTAAAATGTTGAGAGAGGGGGGGAAAGTTTGTAAGATTTTGAAAAGAATTCCTTCAAGGCAAAAAAATATTGAAAAATCTACAATTAAGCTTCTGTAAATGTACGAAAAAAAAAATACGAATACGCGCCTGAAGTCCAAAACATTTCTTGCACTGACAAAATCTTCCAATCCCTCCCTCCCCAAAAAACTCCCCCCCCCCCCAAAAAAAAAAAAAAAAAACTGTTTATGTTTGAAAAAAAAAATACATCGTAATATAATCAAAAAACTTACTCTTTATTATCCCTTTATGCTCTATGAATGGGAATAATAAGATTCGACCTTTAAACCGACGGATGGATATGGATTGTGAATGGATATTTGAAGTCACTTCATTTTCTGCACTGAAAGCTCCTAGTTGACAATAGGCCTTAAATCCATTACCTTAAAAATTTGGAACCATCAAATGAGACCATATTTTTTTTCTCCCGGAATTGCCTCCTTCTAAGCACTATAACTTTCTTTCATTTCTATATCATGTCTATCATAGTGCCATGCGGTCCTCATATTCATATCTTTACATTATTCTATTACCGCAACCTTCATCTATTTCACCCCGACCTGCTTCCAGTCTGGCCTTGTAGCTCAGCTGGTAGAGCATCGGTAGTACAAATCCGAAGGTCGTGGGTTCGAATTCCAGTGTATTTATTGTAAAAAGCACTATGCTTGAAAAGTCCTGAACTTTTGTGATGAGAATGGTGCGCAAACCCTTAAGTGTAATTAATATTTTTTTCCATTGCCAGAAAATGATGGTCAAGACAAAGAAGTCATGGTTGGAAGAAAGGGTCTTTTGGACATCATTGTAGGACGATGTTCTGATAGAGCGCCCACGTAAGTTGTGTTGGGCCATTCAGCACCGATCGGAACGAGTCTCGTGATAGGTTGAGAAAACAGTGGACAAACAATAGATACCTGTTTAAAAAAAAGGTTGTCGGATAAAATATGGCTAATGCCAATTGTCGAATGGCGATTGCACAACCGAAAGTAGACATGGGTTTTGCTGATTTGTACTGATTTGAACTAATAGTTGAGTTTCGCGATCTCTTTTACGCTGTGTTAGCCTCAATTGTGTGCTAAAATATTCAAAAACGTAGATAAAACTCGTGAGATTTCAAACTATTTCCATTGTCTTCTACACTCACAGATCTTTTGCATTTATTTGCACGGGCTGTTGTGAATAAAAGAATTTATCATATAATTATCTATGAAATACCTTTATTTCTCCATTTCGTAAACTTGATATTTTCACTAGTGAAAATATTTTTTAAAGTGTTTTAGTATAAACATACTAATTGGTCAAATAATGAAAACAAATTGAAATATCCTTAAAATAATTTACATGTATCAATGAGATTGATTTTCCCGCGAGTGGTCTATCACAAATTAGACCATTAGTAGAGTAACCAATCACAGCGCAGTATGAGTGATAGACCATTAATATGTTTATATGCAATGTGCAGCGAAGCCATCTTTTGCAGCAAAGCATGGTATTTGGTAGTCCTTGAACTTGTTATAGATCCTAATATATTTCCCTAAAAGGCGTTTTTCCGTTTTCTTCGTAGAAACGGTATCATTATTTCTATTTTTACTCAGAAAAAGCAAAAACTGCTAATGAAGACTTTTAGCGGGCATAAACAAGTACAAGGACTACAACTACCATCATGCTTTGCTGCACAAAATGGCGTCGCTGCTTATTCCCTATTGATGGTTTTCAACCATTCCCATGAGAGTGAGCAAAACAAAAAGGTCCACCAGTCATGGTGGTGGTTTGCTTTTGTCAGGTCCACCAGCAATGGCGGACATCTTTTGTTTAACTTTCTCTCCTGGGAATGGTTGAAAACCATCAATTTCTTAAATATTATAATTGTCATTTTTCTTAGTGTAAGAGCCAAGGCACTGCAGTACCTATCTCAGTGTGCAGTATCGTCTGACCCAGATGTCATTAATCTTGTCAAACAAACACTCCAAGAGCCACTTGACAAGTCGGCCAACAGCAATGACACTAACAATGTTGGCTCCATGATTCGGAAAAGAACGTGTGACGAGAAAGTTGGTGTGAGAAAAGCTGCATTACAAGTGAGTATTATTGCTCGTTTTCAACCATTCCCATGAGATTCAAAAGATAAAAGACCGGAGGAATGAACAGTAGATACTAATGAGAAATCCTTTGTGATGAGACACTGATGAAAAACGCAATGCGCATGTCCACAGCTTTCCCGCCAGTGAGCGCTCGCGTCGTGAAATCTGCCTATAAACAGGACAGAGCACCTGGCGATTTTTGTGAAAGTTTTTGTTACAATTCATAAGGTCGTTAACCGATATATAAGATTCATATTTCCATCAATCTTTGTTCTTTTAGTATGTAGTTTCTATTTTTATCTTGTCATTTCTATTTTGAGAAAATGAGGTTTTTCGTAGTGNGTGAGCAAAACAAAAAGGTCCACCAGTCATGGTGGTGGTTTGCTTTTGTCAGGTCCACCAGCAATGGCGGACATCTTTTGTTTAACTTTCTCTCCTGGGAATGGTTGAAAACCATCAATTTCTTAAATATTATAATTGTCATTTTTCTTAGTGTAAGAGCCAAGGCACTGCAGTACCTATCTCAGTGTGCAGTATCGTCTGACCCAGATGTCATTAATCTTGTCAAACAAACACTCCAAGAGCCACTTGACAAGTCGGCCAACAGCAATGACACTAACAATGTTGGCTCCATGATTCGGAAAAGAACGTGTGACGAGAAAGTTGGTGTGAGAAAAGCTGCATTACAAGTGAGTATTATTCCTCGTTTTCAACCATTCCCATGAGATTCAAAAGATAAAAGACCGGCGGACATGTTGGAGGAATGAACAGTAGATACTAATGAGAAATGCTTTGTGATGAGACACTGATGAAAAACGCAATGCGCATGTCCACAGCTTTCCCGCCAGTGAGCGCTCGCGTCGTGAAATCTGCCTATAAACAGGACAGAGCACCTGGCGATTTTTGTGAAAGTTTTTGTTACAATTCATAAGGTCGTTAACCGATATATAAGATTCATATTTCCATCAATCTTTGTTCTTTTAGTATGTAGTTTCTATTTTTATCTTGTCATTTCTATTTTGAGAAAATGAGGTTTTTCGTAGTGTTTACTGTGTTAAATTAGGCAGATTTCAAGACGCGTGCGGTCACAGGAGGTAAAGCTGTGGACATGCGCAGTGCGTTTCAGCAGTTTCTTGTGATAGTTCCTCCAAGATGGCCGCTGTGAYGTAACCTGAAAATGAAGAATTAATATTCTTGGAAACTTAACCCCTAAYAAAACCCTAGTTTTTCTTAACAGAAGAAGCATTGTTGTAATAAATAAGAGATAAATGCAGAATAACAAGGAAACCAATAAGGCATATCATAAATAAAGCATTTGGAGTCATAATACTCCAGTTTCGAGATCTTATTTTTGCAGTCTTAGACCCTGTTTACATGACATACGTGTAGGGTGGCCCTAGGTGTAGAGCCAAACTCTTTTGCTTTCAATCCTCCAGGGAAAAGAAAACAAAGGAGTTAGCCCTGCCACGTAGGCGCACCCTATCTCATGTAAACAGGGCCTAAAACCTCGAAAGCATGTAATATATTCTTTTATTCAACAGAGATCCTATTGTAATGCAAACACTCTGTATACAAAAAAGAYAGTAAAAATTTATGCTTGATTGAAGCTAAGCTTGCACAAAAGAGAATTCGAAACTGGAGTATACATATTAGCGAGGAGGTTGCATACTAAAAAGTGCCAAGCAATATATGAAATATGAGCGGGAGACATGTATGGGRTCGGACGTAAATATTTTTTGAATATGAGGACCGCATGGCACTATGAAGGACACGATGTAGAAATGAAAGAAAGTTATAGCGCTTAGAAGGAGGCAATTGCCAATTTGCATTATGGCGTCATTTACTACAACTACCAGAATGCTTTGCCAACTTTCTTTTGTAATGCAATTATTGCCAATTGTTTTATTAATCTCCAAGGGGATTAAAAATCTGAATAACAATGAAAATGCGCAAGGCTCTCTGCTAGTTGTAGTAAAGTTACGCCATAATGCAAATGCCTATTCCGGGAGAAAGACCCTTAGGAATAAATTCGGAAAAATTAATTTCCGACCTCGCTGGGATTCGAACCCACGACCTTCGGATTTGTACTACCGATGCTCTACCAGCTGAGCTACAAGGCCAGACTGGGAGCAGGTCGGGGTGAAATAGATGTTGGTTGCGGTAATAGAATAATGTAAAGATATGAATATGAGGACCGCATGGCACTACGATAGAAACGATATAGAAATGAAAGAAAGTTGTTGTGCTTAGAAGGATGTAATTTTTCCGAATTTATTCCTAAGGGTCTTTTTCCCGGAAATGCCTACTTCTAAGCACTATAAAGGCTTTCTTTCATTTCTACATCATAAATATTTTATATTGCTTATCAAAGTACAAGGTAAAGCATATTTCAAGATTGTGCAATGAAATCATGAAGGAGACTATTGATGTAGCTTGTTCTGTTCTTTCCAGGTACTTGAAAGTGTCATCCATCTTGACTTAAACAATCTCCACAAACCAGTGAGTACACAAAATAATCTTTACTGCTCATTAAGGCCGATTTAGACGGCACAACTTTTGCTTACAACCATYGCATGCAACCTGCGTAARTCATTCTTACAACTTGGCTACAGCTGTCGTAGGGATTTCAAACAATTACTTAATAGCCCAAGTTGCACCCATGCTGTAAGGATGACTTACGCAGGTTGCATGCGATGGTTGTAAGCAAAAGTTGTGCCGTCWAAATCGACCTTTAGCCTACRTCGCAGGCAACTCTACTCCGTGGGGTTCCTGTGTTAAGGCAAAAATTGCGCCGGAGGGGGAGGAGGTTAGGAAGRAAAACTCCTCTTATTCGTTGTTCCTAAGGGAGAATCTACGTAGCACTCAGTTGATGTAATATATTCATAAAGATATAATACAAAACACATAATACAATAGAACGAGAAACAATGGAATACAATACATTTTATGAATACATTACATGATCAACTGCGTGCTACGTAGGTCACCCCTTGTTCCTAATCTCTCGACACCAGTTCTTGAAAAAAGTTCGTTTCGATTGGAGTAGCCTGGGAAGGAGGCTAATTACTCATTAGTCGAGCTAGCCGTACGCGACCAAACATAGTTTTGCCTTTCAAATAAGTATTATTCCATTCCTATCTATCTATCTAGTCGCGTTTGTGCACCACAGGAAGCCCAAATGTTTTAGATGTACGCGTATCGTCACTAACTGTTCAATGGCAACCTCGTACCCAGGGTCTTCGTTCTCGCTATTTTCAAAATGGCGGACGCTCGGGAGGGAGCGTCCACCCAACCTCGTTCCCAGGGCCATCACGGACTCCACAAAATGGCCGGTCGTCCAGCGATGACCCTGGCAAACATTGAACTAAGGCACTTTGTGATTGGCTGATAAAGACGTCATTCTTATACCGCTTGCCATTGGATGTTTATTTTTAAGATATGTTCGGCTATCAATCGGGGTTTGTTCGACCAGATTCGACCGTTATTTTGAATGCGTCCAATTTTCCGAAGAGTTTGATGTCCGTTTTATCGATCAAAAGGCAATAATACTGCTTCAAATTCACGTCAGTTGTCTTTTCGTGTGTTCTTTATCTCATGCATGCTTTTGAGAAGCCAGTCGAAGGTGTAAGTAATTAAACCCGGCCGATATATTTACTGTATAAGTCTTCTACTCGGCGTTAATCTACAGCTGCATTCTCTTTCCAAGAACCCCTGAGGACTTCTAGAATGAACTGAAACTACTCCTTTTACTTATATTGCCGATTGAATGGAAATTATGAAATAAACAATTAAGTTAAAATGTTTTTGTTCAGTCAGATAAACAAAATGTCGACCCACCACAGTTAGCCCGATTAAAAACGTTGGGTTTACGTTGCGAACCGCATTTTTGAATAGATTGACACGTGATCAAATAGTCCATGAATTTTGGAGTATTTGATCACGTGATAATCAATGTTTGCCAGGGTCATCGCTGGACGACCGGCCATTTTGTGGAGTCCGTGATGGCCCTGGGAACGAGGTTGAGCGTCCATCATTTTGAAAATAGCGAGAAGGGAGACCCTGGGTACGAGGTTGGTTCAATGCTACTTGCGCTTTCATCTGATCAAAAACACATTTGTTTACAAATGTGGTATATGTGATCACAACGGATTCTAAGCATCAGAAGCACGCGCATGTGCAGATCGGATGCAGCTTCGAGTAGTATGCTTACGAAACTGAATCAATGGCCTTTCTAGCTTTAGGGCTGTTCACAATTCGACATAAGCATGTCGAACAAAGGAAAAACAAACCAATGAAGTCAAGCGTACATCGATATTTTGATTATAGCATTAAAATATGTAATGCGTTATTATCTTTTATCATATAATTAACTATTATATACCTATATCATATAATTATCTATGAAATACCTTTATTTCTCCATTTCGTAAAATTGATATTTTCACTAGTGAAAATAACATGTCTCTCCGTTTCGCAAGGTAAATATTTTCTCTAGGAAAAAAACGTTCGAGTTTTCAGTTATATGATAAACAGAATATTACATGTTGGCTTGGGGATACGAATTTTATCTTCTAAATGCCATTACTAATAAAGGCTTGTTTTTACATAATGATTATAATTATTGTTTTGAAACTATGTTTTTCTGCCATTTTGTCAGGACTTAGATATGCTCCATGACCGATGCATGGATCCTGCCCTCTCAGTCAGACGACAAGCCATGGTGTCANATCGCATTTAGTTACATTTTTCGCTTAGATTTCGATATTGTAATATAACATAATTCAGCCCTTTAGCTGCAAAGGTATATTTTAAACTATGTATCTATCTATCTGATCCCACCTTTAGTAGCCTTCGTGGAGGCTATAGGGGAGGGAGAGGTGAGTGTCAAGACAGGGTCTTTGGATTTTTCTCTACAAGCTTGTCAAATTGTCGTCTCGTGCTGCATTTAGATTGTTTGGTTGGTGTCTTTCTAAATGAGCAAGTTTACTGTCGATCAATAGTTCGTTAAAACAAACTGTTTAAGCGCTGAAAGCATGAAATAATGCTAACAAAATAGTTGTAAATAGCGCAATATAATGTATATTAGGGACATTCATGACAACTTTCAGATGGAACCGGCCCTGTATTGATTGGGGAGCGACACTAGGCGTTAGGTAATTTCATCTATTGTTAGTCATCTACAGCTGTTCGGAGGTTATCGACTTCCTCTAATGGCAAAAGACCATTATTACAAATACGATCTTTACGATTCAAATAAACAAAACTAGTCGACAATGTTGTTCATCTGTAGAGCTCCGCAGGGTATTTAAGATGTCATTCATCACTAATTTCATTATTTTCAAACACATTTTGTCAACGATAAAGTTCACGTTTATGCTAAACTTATTCATTGTAAAACATCACAAGCAGGGCGAACGGTATAAACACGATGTTTAATAATTCTACTCTCAACGCTACTCGTCCTGGTATTCCTGTTCCTTACTACGGCAAGATACCATGGACTGCGGCCTTTTCTCTTCAATTTGTTATGGCCATGATGGGAAACTTCCTTATAGTGTGGATAGTCTTTAGGGACATTCGATTAAGAAGTACAACGAATTACTTAATAGCTAACATGGCGGTCAGTGATCTTATTGCAGCTCTCTTTGCGTTTCCAAGCAACATAGTACTGATAAACTTTGACCGACAATGGATGATTGGTGGGGTCATTGGTAATGCACTGTGCAAGCTAACTGCCTTTACAGTAGAAATGTCTTTCGATGTTTCTATTTATAGCTGTGTTGGTATTTCCATTGACCGGTATTTTGCCGTAGCCTATCCATTTAAGAGACCTTTCCAGGACAAGATGAAACAGGTCATTGCAGCAATTTGGATTATTGCAGCCGTAATCTGTTCGCCAATCTTGTACTTTTTTAATACACTTCAATTTGGCAACGCATTGTATTGTACTGTATCTAACAAGGACAGGTCATCATCTTTTTCTTACAATTATACATTGCTAGGTTTGACCAGTATTTTGCCAGTGCTGTTCATGACAATCACGTACACTCTCACCATCTGCAAACTTTATCATCGCAAAGTACCAGGATTGTTAACATCAGAACAAAGAAGAAGAAAGCAGCAGAATAAAAATGTGTTAAAACATGCTGTGACAATTGTGGTTTTGCTTTGTCTTTGTCACGGGTTTTGGTTCACTTTTGTAATGTTGGATTCGAAAGGAAAGTTGGGCCATCTCTCGGTCTCATCGTATAAGAATTTGAGATATGCCTCATATTTCATTTTATACCTCAGTCTCGTGTACAACTTCTTCATCTACCTCATCTTCAATGATAGTTACCGTGAGAATATCAAAGCTCTGATACCCAAGTGTTGCTGTCGATACGATGCTAGCATAAGACAGGAAAGACCAGGTGGAAGGGAAATGATAGAAATGAACGAAATCAATTAAAGACAAGAAAAATAGAGATAAAGAATAAGAAAGAACAATACAAAATAATGCACCGAAAAGAGAAAGAAACACTGCACATTAAGAGCAACATATTGAGGTGCGTTAAAGTGAATTTTGTTCGGTTTGTGAAAAAGCGCTCTTTATCAAATCTACCGAGAACTTAGAAAGTACGAGTTTTCTTAACTAATGAAGTTGACAGAACACTCAGTCGTGAATTATAACATGCAAGGTCCATGGATTAAAACTCATGTTAGTATCTTATTGAACTGACAGAACCTGTATGTCCACAACCAGCTGCTTACTGAATTGTATAGAAACAGTAGATACAGTATAAGGGTTGAAGACTGAAATAATCCTGGCACTAGATTATAGACTAATTCATGAACACATACAAATTAATGAGTTATAAAATAGTAATATGATACAGCCTTTTGTAAAAATTATGAGAATTGTCTAAATATCTAAATATCATAATATCCATATCCACATATTGTCCGGAACACGCGGGTTTGCTAGAATAATTCATTGTTGACATCGAGAAAATGTTCAGAACTACGGATAAGTCTGTCGCCAAAAAAAACTAAACAACAAAGACAAGGGACTAAGGGCATCGCGCGGGATCATGAACTTGATATTATGATATTTAGATATTCCAACAATTCTCATAATTTTTGCAAAAGGTTGTATATTAGAAAAGATGATTAATAGATATATGACAATACTGTAAGAATGGCTTCGTGTATTTAGGATTGATATAGTTGATTGGTCAGCAATATTATTACAAGTGTATTCTCAATCAAAATGCCTTGCACCATAGAATATTTTGAAAACAGTCTCTTTTTTATTTTCTTAACTGCTGTTCGTCGCCCATAATGTTTGCATATTATTTTGGATGCCATTTTTGTCGTATGAAAGTGACTATACACATTTTGGGTTTATAGGAGGTGGTGTATTTGTTAGTAGTAAGTGTTCAAGGTAGAGAAATCCACATGAATTTTTCCAAAGATTGGTGTAGTTTTGTTTTTCTTCCGAATTTACACGAATTAAATTACAAGATGTCAAAGAACATCAGTATTTGAGTNTGCTAGCATGAGGCAGGAAAGACCAGGTGGAGGAGCAGTTATAGAAATGAACGAAATCAATTAAAGACAGAAAAAATAGAAACAAAGAATAAGAAAGAACGTACAATACCAACTAATCCATCGAAAAGAGAAAGAAACACTGCACATAAAGGGCGATATATTAATGTACATTCAAGTTGATTTTATTAGGTTTGTGAAAAACCGCTTTGAATCAAATCTACTATGAACTTAAAAAGTACGATATATTCTTCACTAATGATTTTGACTGAACACTCAGTCGTGAACTATAACATGCAAGGTCCATGGATTAAACTCATGTTAGTATCTTATTGAACTGACAGAACCTGTATGTCCACAACCAGCTGCTTACTAAATTGTTAAGAAACGATAAGGCAGTATAAGGGTTGATATAAGACTGATATAATCCCGGAACTAGATGATAGACTAACTCATGAACACATACAAATTATGAGTTATAAAATAGTAATATGATGTATTAAAAAAGATGATTAATAGATATATGACATTGCTGTAAGGACGATTTCGTGTATTTAGGATTGATATAGTTGATTGGTCAGGAATATTATTACAAGTGTATTCTCAATCAAAATGCCCTGCACCGTCTTTGCAAGCAGTCTCTTTTATATTTTGTTAACTGCTGTTCGTCGGCCATAATGTTTGCATATTATTTTGGATGCCATGTTTGTCGTATGAAAAGTGACTATACATATTTTGAGTTTATAGGAGGTGGTGTATTTGTTAGTAGTGTTCAAGGTAGAGAAATCCACATGAATTTTTCCAAAGATTGGTGTAGTTTTGTTTTTCTTTCGAATTTACATGGTTAAATTACAAGATATCAAAGAACATCAGTATTTGAGTAGAAGTAAAGAGAGTATATTTAGTTAAAATACGATAATTTACTGATTATATATGACAACATTAGTAAATAAGTTTGTAAATAATTTCTTTCTAGTCATTAAATGTTCCATATATCGCTTCATAGTCAATTACTGTTTGACTATTATGTAAGTTAGAAACTTAGAATACGACAAAAATAAATTTAAAAAGTAAAGTACTATTTTTTGTGGTGTCCAGTTTGTGACTTATGTCATTGTTTATTCAAGTTCATGAAAAAAAATTCAGGACAATTGTGGACTTTGGTGGAGTACTATCAAGCCATAGTGAACTCAGACTCGTGGTCTAATTGTTAGACATACAGTAGTTTCTTATATGCAAAATTAATCCACTGTTGTACATCAGTAGCCATCTGCAGCGTATATTAATTTTCATATATTTCTTTTTTTCATTATTGCAAGTAGTATAGCCCTGTCAATTTAAGTCATAGTTTAATTACAGCTCATAGCTGTTTTAACCCTGGCGTTTTTAATCATAGTAACTATATTTTAACATCCTAGTTCATCAGCTTATTTACAAAATGGTGTCTGATAGTACTAGAGGTCTGCTAACTTTAGCCATTTTTACCGTACGCAAAAAAATCCAAAGCTGGTCTATTGAATGACATAATGAGAACGAAACGATCAGAAAACAGAGTAAAGACATGGAAATAGGGGTTTTGAACATTTTACAAAAGATCTGAAAACGTTTCCCTTTGAAGATCACAAAMGATCTGCCTTGAACAATTAGCATTCCGACGCCTTTTCGACTTTCGACTCATYAATTAAGTACAGGGGTATTAAGYAGTTTACCTATATTTACGGATACTGGAAGGTTATACATGCATTTCCTGTAGCAATGATCGAGCATAAACAATAAAAAAACTTTTGTTCAAACCAAAAACGAAAAAAAGAGAAAAAAGATAAAATAAAAGAACTATTCTTTCAGGAAAACAGTGTATCCTTTTTGCGACTATATTTGAGGTCAATAGGTCCAAAAGGTGCCAGGAATATTGCCATATATTTATAATCGCATTTAGTTACATTTTTCGCTTAGATTTCGATATTGTAATATAACATAATTCAGCCCTTTAGCTGCAAAGGTATATTTTAAACTATGTATCTATCTATCTGATCCCACCTTTAGTAGCCTTCGTGGAGGCTATAGGGGAGGGAGAGGTGAGTGTCAAGACAGGGTCTTTGGATTTTTCTCTACAAGCTTGTCAAATTGTCGTCTCGTGCTGCATTTAGATTGTTTGGTTGGTGTCTTTCTAAATGAGCAAGTTTACTGTCGATCAA